AAACTAATTTCTAGGCCAATTTTTTTTATGGAGTTATTTTATAAAAATATAGGGGGGATTCCTCTTGATTTTGAATTTTTTTTGGAGAGAGTACATTATATTTTTATATATAAATTTTTAGAAGGTGGAAGTTTTTGTTATATTTCATAAACTTAAATTTTTTTAGAAATGTGGTATAGGTAAGTTGAGCTTGAGTATATGGTAGATTTCGACTTTTTAAAAAAATTGTTGGTTTACTATGTTAGACCTGACAATCCTGTATAGCAAGAGCCTTAATTCGCATTGTGAAAAAAAAAATTATATATAGATATTAAAAATGTGAACACAAAGGTTTAAAGGGCAAGGCAACTTGTGCAAAAATTCTTAATGGACCGAAACGTGCTTGGTTTTGCAGTCTTAACCATATTTAATTATTCGGATATCATCGAATTTACTAATTACCTTGGCCTGAATTTTGCATTATTTTTGGGTTCCAGATGTAAAGAGTATACCAAATATTTACAGGAATCTTTGTTCCCACTAAACAAACCTATTTCTACATCAAGTAGTAGTTGGAATTCAAACAGAAAAAAAAACATAAATTTCTTTATTATTTATATTCTATGCCTTAACATTTATTTTTAGAATGTTCATCCTAAAATATTAGATGAGATAAGGTTATATAGAATAAATAGTATACATAAAAATTTCGATTCAACAATAATCAACCAACAGCAGCAGAAATGCAAAAGAGTAGATGCACTTATATTACATCTATAATTGATGAACTTTAACTTTTTGCATTGGTCGAAAGTCCATCCTTCAATTTGTGTAATAAATATAATGTAATTATGTAATGAAAGTAAGGGAAGAAAGAATGCATGATTATGTTTTACTATATACTTTTATAGAAAGTAACGCGTAGGCATTACATTTTTTTTAAAGTAATGCACGGCAATAGTTTCAACGAATTTATTATAGAGGAACGGGAAATCATAAAAGGGCTCAGAAATTTAATTTGAGCATGCATATTTCAATTCTAAGCAAAGTGTCTTTGAGCATAATCAACGTTTTCGTATATCTATGTGAAAAGAAAAAACGAACATGCGGTCAATTTTTAAAAAAATTGCTAAAGTCAGTCTCAGGACCTCCCTTTTTTTTATATAACTCATCACCTTTCATTTTATAAAAAGAATTAAAGAGCTAGATATTTTTAAAAAAGCAACATTTTAATTTTTATTATAACCTTGTTAAAATTTACATATTGGTTTTAGAAAAAAAATGTTTCGAATATTATTATACTTTACTAATATTTAAAATTATTATATTATATAAATAATTTATTACAATTTTATTCGTTTCGTTTTTTTTATTTTTAGTATTTACATGCTATTTTTAATATAAATTTTATAAATTTGCATTTAAAAAAAAATATATATATATTATAATAATAATAATGCTAATTCAAAATGTTTTCTCTTTGAAGAAAAGTAAAATACATTCTCTTTTTATAAAGTTCAAATAAGGCTGGAAATAAAGGCCCATTTTAAAACAAGGGATGACTTGAGAGGAAGGGGCAACAGCATGCCTAAAATATTTTAGCGTAAAATGTTTACATGAGCACGTCTAATAAGACAAAATGGACACTGAGACGAGTCAATGTTTAGTAGGGGTGTACCGATCTATTGGTTTATTGACCCAATGAGACCTAACGACATTAATACCAATCTATGCTGGTGATTCATTCATTAAAATGCATTCGGAGTGTAAATACAATGAAGTTCTCAATTGAAAAGCGTTTAGATGAAAGGTCTTTCAACGGCGATACAACTGACTTCAATGTATGTACACTTTTAATAATGATTTGTCAGTCAAGTTTAGTAATGAATTTGGTTGGATATTTTTTTTAAATGTTGAACTATGAATACTCGGTCGACACTCATTATTTAAATAAAACTCGACCAATTACATTAATACTAACCCTGAATGACAAATCAATTATTAATCAACCACTATAAAGACTTAATCGGTATGTATTTAATATTTGGTGAAGCCATGGTGCGTCTGCGCCAATAATTGCAACCAATTCATTGTCATTTATCAGATCTCCGAAAACAGGGTATAAGATTTAAATTACGGATGGTTATTATTATGTTTTTAATATCAAATTAATCGCCTCTAATGTAAATTTCGCTTTTGGTAATAACATGATTATACATATCTAATTATCACGATAAACTCATCGGGCCTAACTAAGTTATATAAAAAATTGAGACAAATAAGACCAGGTTCCGATACTATCAGCTTACGAAACTGCTCTTTTCCATGCAAGTATCTGCTTACTAAAAAATAATATTCAAGGGCAAAACGCCAAAAGTAATATGAATAGGACCCCGACCTTTATAAATAAAGGCTTAAGAAGAATCATAAAGACATACCCATATAATACCTCTAACTCAATCCCGTGGAATAGATACAACATTTTATTTATTAACTAACTCATTCCTTTGAGCAGATTAAATTAATTGTTTATAGTTTAAGACACTCAAAATAATATGATATTCTCCTCAATGGAATGGCTACCAAGCGAAAAATCTCTAATTATAACTCCTAAACACCCCTTCTTTATATCCTGTGCTATCAGGGTACATAGAGGTACCGCTCACGATATTTCATCTTAATTATTACGCCATTTAATGGATATTAATTAATCAAAGTGTAGGATTATAAAACTACTCTTGGAAAATAACTGTCTCATTCTCGTGAATCTTAGAGTTATATTTAAAAAATTAGTTATAATATTAAGAAATTAAATTTAGATATTCAGCATACTTAGGAATAATTAATTAAATAAAAATATATTAAGGCCTACTTCTCCGTATTTAAGTCATATTATATTCCCCAGACAGGGTTGCCAGATATTCTTCACTTGAAAACATGAGTTTTTCTTTTATAATAAATGGGGGACTTCGCCCCCCATGCCCCCCAATTTGTCATTGATGTAGCATACTCATTTAGGTTAATATATTATATTTAATATAACAAGATTTTAAAATCAATGAAAATTCTTTATTGATTTACTAATAACAATTATGATATATAATTTTCTGATGTTTATAAATATAGCATAATATTAATTATTATATTTTATGGATGATTTTAAAAGAGGCAATAAAGATTTCCCATCGGCACTGTTGAGATAGGCTGAAAACTCTTTGCATGAATAGTTATATTTAACCATTTAGCTTCCAATGATGACGTTCTTTTCGCCAAGCAGTAGTCATTAGACTGAATATTCTATCTGATGAAGCATTTGAATGCGGAATAGAAAATATAAAATTGCATATTTTCTCTATCAATGGTGAGTTTTTACTAGAAAGAAAATCCATCCATTTTTCTTGGGTATTCATGTGATAGTTTTTTGATAATTTTTCTTCATAATAGGAATAAAATTGTGAATATTCCTCAAAGAGAATTTCTGTATCTATGTTTGGTATTTTATAATTACTAATAATTTTTTGTAATTGTTCAAATTCTGGACATTATTTAAAGTCATAGGGCTAAAATATTTCCATAAATTATCTATAATATCATAACGTTTTTCTACATATTCTATAATATTTTTTAAAAATATCTTTGATTCATTTTTGAAATTTATTGCTTTTTCTATATCATTATTATGTTGTAAAATATTTTTAGAAATGCTCCCATAAAAATTTTGTTAAATTTTTAAATTTAATGAACTCTTTAGTTTTAGGATAAGATCATATATATATATTGCTAATACATCTTCATATTGCAATTGTAAATTTATGTTATTGACTTAAGTGCCAACGTTAAAGACAACACCTAAATATGCCTCTGCAAAATCATCTGCAAAAATTATTTTCAAAATTAGGTTGTTGATAATGATAAAAAATATTCTTTAAGGGGGTTGAAAATACTTAAGCATCCGCTTATTCGCTGGGATTAATGTAAGCCAGCGTGTTGGAACATGGCGAAGTGATTCTCACCATTCTAAATTGCACCATTCTACCAATTCTTTTAAAATTGTAACTCTTTTTGTCGAGTTGCTAAATTCATTATAGCACTTAATTTCTATATTCTCAAATCATATTTAAGAAAAATTATGGCCTTTTTAAACGAATTGTGAAGAATGTGGCATATACAACCCATTGGTATAATATTATTACTATGACTTTTCAATTCTGTCCAAATACTTTAATTTTTCCCAAAGCTTACAGGTGCGTTATCTGCAAAATAGGCCGTTACATTAGCAATATCAAGTTCAGCGAATTTTAAATTTTCTAGCAAGCATCTAGATATGTCTTTAGGGGTTTCACAGTCAGCCGAAAAAATTTTAAGTAATTAAACATTTATTCCATTCTTTTTGTTGAAGTATCTAAGTAATAAGGGAAATGTTTTTATATTACCTTTATTCTATGCATCCATTAGTATTGAAAACGGATGATTGTTTTTTAGATCTTTTATAATATTTGCCCTTAATCTATTTCTTTAAAATTTTACGAGTTTTAATATAGATTTATAAAATCCATAAAAGAAATGTATAGTTATTTAAATTCATATTATAATTATACTTGATAAACTTTCTAAAAATTGAATTTATGTGGTAATTGATTAATGAATATGATTGGTTAGTTGGACTATTAACAAATACTACAATTTATTTAAATATTTTAAAATAAAATTAATTTAAAATTTTATATTTGTCTTTAAAAATATTTTAAAAAAATTTAAAAACGTGGGAAAAAGTGTGAGACTAAGTGTGATTATTTTAATTTACTCAAAAAACGTGAGAAAAGCGTGAAGTGTGAGAAAACGTGGGTAAGTAAAAAATTAGGTATGAAGTCGTGAGAATCACGGCTAAATCGTGACATCTGGCACCCCTGTCCCCAGAGCTTATCTAACCAATTAGCTTAAATGATTATTCTCAATATATAATTTAAAGGGTTCTCTCTATTTCCTTCTTTCTTTATATAATGAAGTTTAAAAAAATATACCTGATTTGGGATCTATAGACATGGTAGGAATACCCATGTGAGCTGGGGGAGGTTGAACGAAATGTTCTTGATTGTACAACATCAGCTGGGCCAGAGAATTGGAAGGCCGAAATCCCTAAATCATATTGAATATAATATTTGATGTATATATATTAGGTATTCATGAGTTAACTAAATTTATATCAGAAACCTGCAGGCCCGGCCTGGAAATGGTACAATTTTAAATAATTAAAAATTATTGCTGGGCCTAATTTTATTAAAATTAATATAACCAATACCAATTAAAAAAACATATATAATAGATTATGCAGTGACTTCTAATACGAGGTAGGAGGGGAAATAAGTATGCGCAAGATCATCATGGAAGTAGGGGGGATAAGACGAAAATAGTTTTTGTTTTGGATTTCTTGATTTGAATTTACTTAACATGCTAATTATAATATAGTACGGGGTAGGGTTTGTATTTACATACAAATATTTTATATTAATTTGAACCCGGTTGAACCCTGGTTAAAATAAAATTCCCGGAGTCGGTTTGGGGTAAATTTTATAAACTGGGTTTAAGTTTGGTTCGAACCCCTGCATCTACCAAACAGAATAAACATTAAAATATTATGTTCTATTAAAGCCCTACTTAATGGTTTGGTATAAGTTTCAAATTTTTGTAAAAGCTTGGCAAACTTCAGGCTTAAAGGTTGTAGTTTTCATTGTTTTATAACTCAGTTATCTTTTTGCTACTAGATTTGATTGAAGAATTAAAAGTACTAGTCAGGCACTAGATAATAGCGTATGCCAGATATATAGTTTTTTTTATAATTTCCATTCTAGCATAATACCAATTTTTTTTCCTACTGTCTACCGCTGATTAAATTAATTTACAATTGAGCACTAAACATTGAAAAATTTTCTAAATAATACTTTCAGTTGCTTTTTAATCGTAAAAATTTTTCATTTATGCTGGATACTACACTGGTAAAAGTCAGACGTTAATAAAGTACAAAACATCGGCATATTTTAAAATAAGTACTTTTAATTGTTCAGCCAACGTTAAGGGAGATGGTATAAATATAACCACGGAAAAATCAGTAATATAACTCGAAATCCTTAAGGCATCATTAGATAATCAGAACTCTGTAATGTAATATTATAATTTAAGCGAAGGAGGTTAACTCAACCCTCTAATTAACCGTTAACATACTTAGTATTATCTATTTTATATTTGAATCATAGGAGGATGTGTACCCAATTTGTTACCTTTGGACGGATAGAAGCATCCCTAAGGAGTTTGATTAGTATAAGCTTACATAAATATTAAAAGAGGGCTAGAGTGGCGATTGCTAATCAGAGCTCTCTATTTCGACGGAGGGGGCAGCTGGGTTAAATCAGATGGGGTCTACCCTTAGTAAACACTCAATATATAGTCTGCATCCATTTTATATTTTAGTCATCGTGAGGGGGAGTTCAATGTGTTGTATTTAAAAAATACAATATAATAAGACTCATTTCAAAAAAAATTAATATAAATAAATGAAGAGAAGACCAAAAAATTCCTTTAAAAACATAGGGAACAAAAATTTAATAATATTAATTTAGAAAAATATTTTAAAAAAAATAATATTATATTTAATCAATCAAAAAATTCTATATTACTAAAGTGAAACTTAGATCCTCTTTTATCTCCCTTTTCTATGTTCTATATATTTATTAATATACGATATCTGACAGCATAAATAATCTATATTTCTTCATAATATATATTATTTATATAATAAAAAAATATCTTCTTCAAAATAGATAATAAATAAACAATATTTTCCCTCTTATCTTATATAACTTACAAATTTTTTTTTGCTTTTCAAACAAAAAATATTAAATAATATACTAAACCATTTTAGTGTTGTAAATTGTATATACATTTTTTTATAGTTAGTTAACTTAACTTGTACCTCTCAAGATAAAAAGTTACAATATATTTTTTTGTTAGATAATGATTATATTATTAATAATAATACAAGAAAATAGTTCTTCTCTTGTAAAATAACAAACTAAATATTTGAAATAATAAGATGCAATTTTTTTAAATATGTGATATTTAACTTCTTCTATACAAATTGATATTTCAATAAACTTATTATAGTTATAAAAATGAGTTGCTTGAGTTTTGTATTTTAAAATTTGTAATATAATTTTTTTTGTTTAAAAACTTATTAAAAATTATGAAAACATTTTGCAAAATGCAATGCAACAAAGGTAAGTATCCATTCTTGTTTTTTCCCATGGATAATTTTATAATTGAGTTTGAATAAATATAAGTTTGAAATCGAAAAATAGAGATGTTTTTAAAACTTCCATATAATTAAAACATGTAAAAAAAATTTATTTGAAATATAACACAAACGAAGTTGGGTAAAAAAATAAAATTGATACAAGCTAATATTTTCGACAAAGAAGCACACAAAGATATTCATCATTATCCACCCCTAAATTTACAATTGCAAACACGTATCACAGGTCGTTTTCCTGCTAATAAATTTCTGTGCTAATTTTTAATTTATTAATTATTGTTTTCAAGAAAAAATTTAATTGCAAAACAATTTAGAAATATATTTTTCTATTAGATAAATAAATATAATAAAATATAATATATAACTAATAAAAAGATTATGTATTATTCCAAACAGGGCGGTGCAGAAGGGGGGGGGGGCGAGTGGGGCAGCCGCCCAAAGATGCTGAAATTAGACAATATTTGGGGCCGCCAAATTTTGTAACAAATAATAATTTATTGTATATGTTAACGGCATTGTGTTTTTTCTCAACTTTTAGTCATTATTTGAGCTGTATTTTAAATTTAAAAATCTGATTTTACCGGAAATGTATTCATGTTTGGAGTACCTAACCTATAAATTTCAGATGATTTTGTCATGAACTTTTGACAATATAATTTATATGCGTTTATCCATAAATTTTTTATATCAATTATAAATGACTCAGGGAAACATGCAATTCATTTACGGTATAATCAGATTTTTAAATTTAGAAAAACGCGCTCAAAAAATGATTTAAAGTTGAAAAAATCTTATCTACAAAGAAGCAAGGTAATAGGTAAGTAAAAAAATATAATAAATTTAAAAAAAAAGACTTCTATTAAATGATTATTTTGATAAATATTTGGTTTATTTTCTCGTAAAGGTCCTGTTTTTGTGGTTGTATTTGCTATGAGGCATTTTTTGGATATTCTGATACGTGTATTTTAAAATAAATAATTACCATAGGCTTCATATAAAACATAGACCGGCACACTTTAAATTAGTCTAATTTAGCTTGAGTTTTAATATATACTATATAATGTGCTAGTTTCCAGATATGAGAAAATTTGATTAATATAAAAATACTGTTTAGTAAGGTGAATTGTTAGGAGACGCCATATAATCTTTTATTTCATACCCAAAAAATTTTCAAAATGGGAAGAGGAAACAAATTTGATTCAGATGCTTAGAAACGAAAAAAAAGAAGTACTAAGCTACATTTATTAATTCTCAAAAGGGGGCTAATTATAAAACACTTTAAAAATAAAAATGTGACATCATGCACCATAAGTTAAATAATCTCGATGATGAGCGCATTAATATTCTTATACTAATCATGAAGATCCCACAGAAGTCATTGGTTCACATATTTCTCACTCTTATTATGACGATCCTGCAGAGATCGTTGATTTACATATTTCCTATCTCATCATGACGCATGCAAAGTGACAATATTGAATTAGAAAGAACCATTACATTTATAGGAATAACGCAAGATTTTTTAGATCGCTTTTGACTTAGCAAAAGAGCTTGCACAGGAATTGGAAATGAGTGTAAAAGAGCAGTGCTTTCCTTTAATAGCATTAATTCGTAGACGGAATGTTAAAAAAAAAATTTTTTTAAGAAGATGACACGCCTATACATGATCCTCAAAAAAATGAGATTGAATTTTTCAATATATTACTAAATCAAGAGAAATCTTGGATGAACGTTTCCAAGATATTACTAAATCAAGAGAAATCTTGGATGAACGTTTCCAAGATAATTTTGAATTCAATTTAATAAATCAGAATATGCGCCTGAAAGAGCATTTATGATTAATATTTAATAAAGTAAATACGTTTTTAGTTCTCATTGTGAAAATATATCAAATAAGCTTAGGCAAATGGTGTTTTTTAAGGGGCCGCAAAAAAGTCTCGGCACGGCGCTGATTCCAAACCAAAACCAATATCATTTATTCGTCATATTCATATATATATTATAGTACAATATCATAATATATAAAAAGATGTTGACTTGTTAAAAATTGCACATCAAAATTAATAATATGACTTTATTGTTATAAAAATTATCTTAAAATTATTATTAAAAAAGATATTATATTCATTTATAAATGATAACCTGAAAGGTAGTTAAACAAACAAAAATTTTAATTGTAAATAATAAATTTAAAAAAAATAGAATAATTAAAAAAAGATATTATTGTATATACAATAAAGTTGAAGAGGGGCGCGAAAATAACCAATTAAAATTTAATATTTTTATTGTATAATAATTTAATAGCTCTGTTTGTGTCATCATTATAAACTTGAAGTAATAATAAAATATAATAATATTATGATTACATCAAGATATTATATTATAGTTATAATCATCCTCATTATCCTAACACTTTATCAGTGACAAAATTTTAAGTTTCATAAATAATATATTCCTGATTAAATAATAATTGAGAGCCAACTTAAAGCTACTTTACCCAAAACCAAGTGAAATTTGATATTTAATTTATTTAACTAACCAAATTTTATTTTTAGGCTAATCAATTAAAAAAGTAAAATTAAATTTGGTGTAAGCAAAAAAAGGCGCTACGAATTCCTATAATGTTAACGATGAATAATAACCAAAATTGGTTCTAAGAGCAGAGCCTTTAGTTTTTTTGAATGACTAAATAAAATCCTGTATACGTCATGTACACATGTTTAAGTGTATATATTGCAAGGGGTTTTAATAATTTATAGAGGGTTTTTCGAAGGACCTGAGTTTGGTATCTAGAATATATAACCTATTACCCTGTAAATTTCAAGCAATT